TTCGTAACTTTAGGAAGAATCACGTTTCCTACCATTCGAAGTCAAGAAAGACATGTTCCTGCCACCCTTGCGACGCCGAGAGCCGCTCACAACCGACCAGTTAAAAGCTTTCGAGGAAAGGATCGATGCGCAGGTAGGTGAATAATTATGCTAATTGTATAATGTATTACGGACATTTTTGACAAACGAATTAGGTAGGATTGGATTTCGGTAAACCAATAAGGTACTAGTTTATTGCTTAATGAGTTTTTTGGTCAGGGTCAGAAGACTTTAGTATTTCTCTCGAAATATTGGGTCTGGAAGGAGAGTTACATCTGTGCTCTTGGGTAAACGGCTGAAATCCAGTCCTAAATTGACAGCTTACAGTCCTTCTATGGATGATAGAATATTAATTCCAGTTAACGTTTCGAGATTGAGAAATAAAAATTGTGGCTCCATAGAATAAGTTAGTTTCATTTATCCTCAGTGGTTTTACGTTGCATTCACGACAGACATTAATGAGTATTCATACATCAGTAAGCACTGATAAGGTTAGAAATCACTTGCGAATGTTCATGTCATTGTCATTCATTGCATCCACTTCAGTAGCGCAATAATAGCGTGAAGGAGTGTTGCTGGAAGTGAGGGTAGTAGAATCGCAGGTTTAAATCCGGAGTGTTTATCGTCTTTCAACTTTTCTTGGTAAATATATGATTAGAGTACATGGAAAGGAAGTATGAAACACTAGTGTTGATGTAGCTGCGAACATTTATTAATAAAATAAAGCACTCCTGGATGGCGGCATTGAAAAGAAAGTTAACTCCATACATTAATCTTCATAGAGAAACGTAGTACAAGTACCTCCATTCTATTCTTTATACTGTTCGATCACTATTGAAGCATGTTTTACATTCTATTTTTAAAAATGGCTAGCAGTGGCCGTTACTCGTTTCTTATATTCATTTTTAGTCTACTCCTCTGGACAGCCTTTATCTCGGTCAATTGAATAGAGAACAGATGAAAAGAAGATCAAACGTCACGACTGATGATTCTGTCAACACATGGAATGCCAAACTTCCTCTGAAGATGAAAATGAAACTTTTGCAGTTCTGCGAAAACTATCGCCCAGCGTACTACGGTACATTTCAAAAGAAATCGTCGGTAATTACCGGTCGTCGTCCATTAGTTCAGGACACGGTATATGACATTGCCACGCGTTGTGTGATCTCGTTACTGGGCAGATTTAGACATTGTTTAATTATGAGGTTGACAGCGACGATGAATGGGAGGAAGAATCTGTTGGTGATGAATGCCGATCCGATGAAGTACGGTTTTCTTTCGATAAACTGTTTTGAAAAAACTCTAAATCTTCTTTTGCAGGAAACGGAAAGTTCAAGTTCAGAGGAAGAAGGGGAAGAAAGTGAGGACAACAGCTTCTTCGTGGAGCCAGGTTATCTGTCGTTATCAGAAGAAGACCCTGATGTGGAAGATGAATCTGTAAGTATGGCAGTACTTCAGTATCAAAGTATATTGAAAACTGGCATTTGACTAGCACCCCATAATAACGGAATTTATTTGAGGTATGTTTGATAATAATGTTGTTTGCTATTGCATTTTTCGGGTAGCTCAGTTTTTAAAGCTCCAGATTCGCGGTCGAAGGGCTGCTGGTTTGCCTCTACATCGCATTTGCTTTTTGCCTTTCCGATGTCGATAGAGGAGTACCCGCATTTAGAAAATACACGCGAAACAGCATGCTTGTTGGTTGTTGCAGGTATTGCCTTTAAAATTAAGACACGCATGATGAGTCATATTTTAACAGAGATGGCGATCACCATGAACTCGATGAAGGGCGGGGGTAAAAGAGGGTGCAAGGTGTTCATGACAGACAGTCCGTTGTTTGCAACAACTTTATGCCATTATGCTGTTGTTTCCGATTACACTTTCAGTGTCTGGTGTGACATTAGCATTGAAATCAACCATCAGAATGATGGATTCCGTAATAAGCACTTCGTTGAAAGCACCTTCTGCTTCCTTCAGGAATGACTTATGTTCTCCCAGTATAATGGAGCTCATAGACCTGTTGCAAGATCTAGGCTTTAGCCTGTTGTAGCTTCAGCCGGAGGATTGCCACTCTTTCGCTGACAGGCTTTCATTCAATGATTCTGTCAGACAGGTCGAGTTCTACTAAAACACTAACACCAGCCAGAGCGAGCGTCGTGATGTTGACACCTGAGTAGAATAGATTCCACCCTCAAAGATTCAGAATTTCAGAACCTTGGCTCTTAGTTGACCACAGCCAAACTATATCGAGTTGGTACCTTGGTGTCTCATCAACCAGCTCTTGCATTTTTTCTTTTGAATGGGCAGATGTTCCAATCTGACTACTTTTTAGTTTTGGATCTAAAAATTTAGCTTCTTGGGCGACATGAATAGGGAGAGACTTATTTGTAAATTAATATGCCAGAATTCCGGAAGTTGTATCCAGTCCTTTTCATCCAGTTGCTAAAGTCTAAGGTCTTTGGGCTAGAAATATCAAAAATATAGATTAGCCTTAAGAAGAAATTTGCAGCGTCAGAATTTTCGAAACGCTGAATGAAAACCAAGGTCCACTGCGTTGGTTCTTATTAAAAAATCATTGGTGTGGGATGGCACGGAACCAAGATCAGATTGTTGGCTAACCTACTCTTGATTTATAATTATTTCTCGGCTCGGGTATTCCAAGGCGAATTTTAACCATTAAGTACACACATCAGTAAGTCTAGCCATATATGTTGTACGTTCTTTCATGACCACATCAAAATACCATGCTGGTACTGTTTGTTCGCAACTCAATGACTTGCTTCCTTTTTTGATTGATTGTACCGAAGCGCAGTCGGATGAATTCCTTACTGAGGGAAATTACCAGTTAATACGAGAAATTTTTGTTCAACCCTTGAAGTTGCAACTTGGCACCTCTAAAGTACAAAACAAAATACTAATCTTTTGCTCCCTGCTTATGATTATATGACAAAATAGCAAATTGCAGATTGCAAATTTTTCGACCATTTGGAATGCAGTTCGAAAAGTCTATTTAAGTGGAGTTTGTACTGTTTGCTACATTTTCAAAATTAACAAACGAACTAGTCCATGAGTAACGCTTTAGATTTTCGATTCTCGGCCCGTGGTTATGTATGCCATTGGTTGAATGATTCATGGTTCAGGGCACCGAGCACGGCCGATGGTGAAAGATTCATCAGACCTAAGCTGAGTACAAAAAGTTTTGTGATAATGCTTTGGTCTATGTAATAAAATGATTTGGCAATAGATCTTTGACTGTCTGCTGTGTTTGGTGCCCTGAACTATGAACCATTCAACCAAAGTATATAAACTACTTAATTATTCTTCATTATTGTAGGGCATGCGCTGAAAGCTCCATTCTGTGTTTTTCGTTATTTTGCTTCTTAATCGTGCGTTTGTGGTTATAGGTACTTAATCCTGAAGTAAGACGGGAAAGAATGAAGGTTCGTGCCGCAACCTGGAAGGCGGAGAACTTGGACAAGAAGTGGGAAAAGCTTAAGCCGATCATAATTGATAATCTATCCGGTAGCTTGCCTGATGCCGCTGAGCTCCTGGCTGATTTCCATGTTAGTATCTGATCATATTATCGATGTTGTAATCTTGGACGAAGTTGTTCCAGATTATTAATGTCGACCCACTGCCGATTATTGTAACATGTATGGAATTGCCAGCTTCACCGTCTGGCACCAACAGCCCGAAATCCTTTAATCAAACGAAGTTTCCCGTACCTGAAAGCGGTAAGTAGAAATTTTTTTGCGTCTCTCACTGCAGTCCTCCTGTCATACTTAAAGTTTAGGCATGTGGCCATTAGATACAGTACAAACACTGAGTTGCAATATAACTTTAAAGAAGTAATAAGGTGACACATTATACATAACAGTGTTGAAGTCATACCAAGTTCTGGAATATCTTGATATATTTTTAAGATCAGAAGGC